ATTCCAAAGATGTTTGCCGCTAGAAAACGGATTACACGCCTTTGTCTTTTTGGTTAATTTTTGCTGGAAATTTTGCTGTCTGGTAAATCCTCGGACAACAAACCGCTATTAAAGGAACCATGTTTGGTTTTTCCTTTTAGTTATGTTCTGGTTAAGTAAGATTCAGGAAGACAGATTAATTTAAATCTAACAGCAGTTCAAAGACTGCTTGCCGAATTATAATGCTAATTGTCAACCGTTTGTTGCATCTGTGCTAAAATAAATCCATAACCTAAATTTTTTTCCACTCTCTCAACTCAGCCGTTAAAATACGTTACCGAACATTAGTTACCTGAAAACCACAAGTGAGGAACCGAAACATTAGCACAAAAAAAAAAAAAAAAAAATAAAATACAATTTTTTTGTAACTGCTTTTATTTAAAGTAACTTATTTGTTTAATAATTTTTTTTTTACTCTTAAAAAAAAATAAAAAATGCCGATTACCCGAAGTGCAGAAAACATTCCAGCCCTGTCTGCAGTGGCTAAAGAGTCATGTGACTGTGCCATTTGTCAAGAAACAATGACTGAAATGCAAGACTGTGTAATTACTTTGTGCAACCACGTATATCACCGGGAATGTATAGGAACTTGGCTTGAAAAGCAACACGAATGTCCTTGTTGCAAAAGATTATGTCATGTTAAAGACTGCATACCAATTACCCTCAAGCCGGCTGAGCAAAGCTTTCAAAGTAGACAAGGTACCAATCTTCGAGGGCGCGGGCATAGACAATTAACTCGCAATAGGCGTCGTAATAACCCTCCCAGCTCCCAGTCGTTAATAGAAGGTGATAACAATCAGCAAGTTGCGCAAAGCCCTCGTTCCCTAAACCTGTCCATGCCAGTAGGTGATTCAGTCGATAGGGATGTAACTAACGTCTCCAATACGCAACGTAACCTAAATAATCAAGTTCGCGACTCTGGTGCCGTAGTGGATTCCGATCGAATATCACAAATGGTAGAAGAAAACGTTAGGAGAATTTTAGCTGGGTTAAATCTCGACCAAGATAGGTTACAAACCCAGGCTTACATACGCCAATCTAACGACCCTCGTTACCTTGCTAATAGTAATAATATTACTAACCCGAATTGTTCGAACCTTCGTACGGATAAAGTGATAAATATAATACAGCATTGGAATATAAAATATAATGGATCCTCCAAGGAATTAACTGTAGAAGAATTTCTCTATCGTGTTAGAGCTCACACAGAGATTCACTTGAACGGAGACTTCAATTTACTATGTAAACATATACCTTTGCTTCTAACCGGAAAGGCCCGCTTTCATAAGCAAAATGAAATTATCGAGTGGCAAGATTTTTGTGCTGCCATACGGTACCAATATAGAGATTATAGGTCCAATTTTGATATCAGGGAACAAATTAGAAGTCGAAAACAAAAGCCCGGTGAGACATTTGAGGCCTTTTATGATGATATTTCTTTGATGTGTGACAGGCTATCTTGCCCCCTAGAGGAAGAGGAGTTAATAGAAATATTAACCCGAAATTTAAAACCTCAAATTCGCCACGAACTGTTATATGTCAACGTTCGCTCTATTGCACAGTTGAGAAAACTTTGTCAAATGAGAGAAAATCTTTTAGCCGACGAGAATTTTCGACGGACTCCGATTTCCAGGCAGTTAGCAGAGACCAATTTCAGACGAAATATTTCAAGTATCGAGGAAGATGAGCTTCCGGAAGGGGATGGGCACATAGAGTCCGCATTGGAAGTCGCTGCATTACAGCAAGCGAATATTACTAAATGCTGGAACTGCATATTTTGTTATGGCTGTGGTGAGCCAGGAATGTACAAACCTCAATGCCAAACTTGTGCCGCTCGTCGTTTGGAAAACTTGAAGAGGGGTGCGGTTCGACCACCTCGTACGCACCCAAACTGAACACGGATTAACAATTCCGAATCGAAAGTAATTGCCCCTTTCACGAGTCACAACGCTACGAGTAACGATAATACTTTACCAAGCCACATGTTGCCCTATCATGAAAGACTAAAAAATTATTTAGAAGCTAAGAATAGGATATTTAGTCAGCCACCTACGTTGAAATCCAAAAGAAATACCGCAAGAATACGTAATTATTATAAGAATGTCAAACCGACACGAAAGCTTTTCCTTTCAGCCGTGTTCGAAAATAGGATCGATAATAGATTGTATGCCAAAGTTAAGTTCTTAGACTTTGAGGAGTTAGGCCTACTGGACACCGGTGCCAATGTTTCCTGTGTGGGAACAGATTTGGCGAAAACAGATTTTTCTAAATATTCGCAGTTTCATCCCTTAAATACCACGGTAAAAACCGCTGACGGTAAACCACATTCAGTCAGTGGTTATCTAAGCGCGATTGTCGAATACCAAGCCGTAAAAAAAGCTTTGAAAATTTTTGTTATCCCCACTATTACGAATCGGCTAATTTTAGGAATAGACTTTTGGAAAGAATTCGACTTGGCCCCAGGTTTGATTTCTTGCATATCGGCTGGTCAATTCTCTTCGGTTGATACCATCACTAATAGTGGTGTAGACACCGTTGAAATCAGCAAAGATAAATCTGAGAATACTGACGGCAACTTCCCTCTTACAAAACTGCAACAGCATCAATTAGAATGTGTAAAAACTATGTTTCCGAGTTTTGAAACGCAAGGATTAGGTCGCACGCCCTTAATAAAGCATACGATTGACGTGGAGGATGCCAAACCAGTTAAGCAACGGTTCTACCCAGTCAGCCCAAACGTTGAAAAACTGATGTTCGACGAGGTTGACCGAATGCTAGACTTAGGTGTTATTCAAACCTCAAGCAGTCCCTGGAGCTCACCAATGCGACTAGTTGTAAAACCCGGTAAAGTTCGCCTGTGTCTTGATGCTAGACGACTAAATGAGGTAACAAAAAAAGATGCTTATCCCCTGCCAAGCATCGAGGGTATTTTTGCTCGCTTGCCCAAAGCCAATATAATATCTAAGCTTGACTTAAAAGATGCGTTTTGGCAAATCGAGTTAGATGACAATTCAAAGCCATTGACAGCATTCACAATTCCGGGTAGACCATTATACGAATTTGTTGTAATGCCATTTGGGCTGTGTAACGCTCCATCAACAATGTGTAGATTGATGGATGTTATTATTCCCCCGGATCTTCGCCATTGTGTCTTTGGATATTTAGACGATCTCTGTATTGTCTCAGACACATTTGAGTCGCATTTATCCGTGTTAATACGAATTGCTGAACAGTTTAAAAAAGCCAACCTAACACTTAATATCAGTAAAAGCCAGTTTTGCGTTACGAAAGTTAACTATTTAGGGTATGTCATAGGAAGTGGTGGAATTTCTACCGACCCGTCGAAAATCGATTCCATTCTGTCATGGCCTGAACCAAAAAATCTAAAACAGGTACGAGGATTTTTAGGGATATGCGGTTGGTACAGAAGGTTTATCGAGAATTTCGCAGAAGTGACGTACCCTATTACCGAAGTTCTTTCTACAAAAAAAAAATTTGCTTGGACCTCTGATGCACAAAGGGCATTCGAAAAGTTGAAAATGTTGCTGACGTCAGCACCTGTTTTACAAAATCCAGATTTTTCCAAAAAATTTTTCCTTCATTGCGATGCAAGTAATTACGGAATCGGTGCCGATTTGGTTCAGTTATCAGATGAAGGAGTCGAAAAACCCATCGCCTACATGTCGAAAAAATTAAACTCTGCACAGAGAAATTACAGCGTGACTGAACGAGAGTGTCTGGCAGCTCTTCTTGCTATTGAGAAATTTCGCTGTTATTTGGAGCTGCAACAATTCGAGGTCATAACCGACCACTCGAGTTTGGTCTGGCTAATGCGACAGCAAAACCCTAGTGGACGGTTGGCACGCTGGACGTTAAAACTGCAGGCGTACAAATTTACTATCTCTCACCGGAAAGGGAAGGAAAATGTCGTTCCTGACGCGTTATCGCGGATCCCTGAAGGAAATGACATAGCCTCTCTCGAGGTAATAGGCCCAGAAATTGATCTTGATTCACCAGCCTTTTCTGACGACGATTATGAACAATTGAAAACCAAAATTGTAACTGAACAAGATAAACTGCCTGACTTGCGTGTTGTAGATAAATTTGTGTATATTCGTACCGAGCATAGCAGTGGGGACCCTTCTCAAGAAAAAGAATCCTGGAAGCTGTGGGTACCGGAAAGCCTCCGAATGGAAGTTATTAAACGAGCCCACGATTCCGTCATTTCTGCACATGGCGGTATGAATAAAACCATAGAACGCATTAGGCGATGTTTGTTCTGGCCAGGCTTGGTTAAGCAAGTGCGAGACTACATACGAAACTGTGAGATTTGCAAAACTACCAAGGCGCCGAACACCACCCTTCGTCCGCCTATGGGTAGCCAAGCCACGTCAGTGCGTCCATTTCAGCGACTTTATGTCGATATTTTAGGACCATATCCATGCAGTCGAAAAGGAAATATTGGCTTATTGATAGTCGTAGATCATTTTAGTAAATTTCTATGGATATGTCCTTTACGGAAGTTCAGTGCCAACGCTATTCAAGAATTTTTATTGAAAGAGATTTTCCACTGCTTTGGAGTGCCTGAAACTTTAATAAGCGATAATGGCGTTCAATTTAAGTCTAATGAATTTAATGCTTTCCTCACGGAGTACGGAATTAACCACGTTTACACTGCCCTGTATTCTCCCCAAAGCAACGCATCCGAACGCGTTAATCGTTCGTTGATTGCGGGAATACGTGCATACATTAAAGACGACCATAAACAGTGGGACGAACACCTAACTAGTATCGCTTGTGCTATTAGAACATCGATACATCAAACAACTAATCGTTCTCCGTATGAGATTTTATAAGGATTTAATATGGTAACTCATGCTTCACAATATCGCTTATTAAGGGGTTTAGGCATGCTAGAGGAATCGAATTTTTCTCTTGAACGCTCGGATAGGACAGCGGTTTTAAGAAGCGACATTCATAAAACTATGCAGAGAGCTTACGAGACAAATGCGAGACAGTATAACCTACGAGCCAAACCCGTTTCTTTTCAAATAGGTCAAGAAGTTTTCCGGCGAAACTTCGCGCAAAGCGACTTTTCTAAAAATTTCAATGCGAAACTTAGCCCCAAATTCCTCAAGGCAAGAGTGAAAGAAAAAATTGGAAACCATTATTATCTCTTAGAAGATTTACAAGGTCGACCCGTCGGCACATTCCACGCAAAGGATATCCGCCAATAAACTAACGGATTCTGGCTAACCTTCTTATCCAAGGATTTCAGGTTATCCAGTTTGTAATGTCCCCCACTACAACTAGCTTCGAATTAAGAAATCCAAAGTTTTATTCTTTACATTTTCCAAACAAATGTCTGTCAAAATATACTATCATTATTTCATTCGAACAAATCAAATACAATTTCCTGTTCTCGAAGCAACCCTACATGTAAAAATTTCTCGCATGCGATATTTGTATATATCCATACTACAATGGGTAGAAAAAGTACTTTTTCGGTCAAAACAGTAGTACCAACCATGACATTTTTACTGTATATTTGCCGAAGCCGAGAGTTCAAGACTGCTTTACGGAAAGTAGTTACTTCCTTTCCATTTCAACTGCAGACCAAGTAGGATCACTTCGAGGGTGTCTAAAATCCACCATTAAAATCTTGCAACATAACTGTAAGTAGTTTACTTAATTTTTTCCTGCTATCAATTCGATAGATTAGTAAGTTTTCCTTTTGTTTTTTGTGTTAAAATTGCATCGTAATTCATTGGGCATGTTAGCGCTCATTTATTAAAAGCGTGAGATTTTTTGAGACACTCAAAGTTTCCAACTGAGTCTGCCATCACAGGAGATTGGAAATCATTCATTGCTTTAGCAAACAAAAACCAAAAGAAGGTAATACGCTAAAAGCTCATTTATTCTATACGCCTTTTTTTACTGCTTCCCTCATTGTACTCTTTGTGCACAGATTCACGATAGCAACAAGAGGAAAACTACTGTCCCTTGCAGAAATCACACCGGTCCTCAGTATCAGGCCACATGCTGGCCACGCGGCCTCGTCGTTTTTTTCTAGCTGCCCAAGCTTAGGAAATTGATACACAGCACACCCCCCCGGGCGCTTGGGGGAAAAAAAAAAACCTACATCGTCCATAAAAAAAATAAAAAAAAAAAAAATAATAATATTAATAATTTATGAATTAATTACCAAATTTTTAACATTCCCAGAAGATGCGAAAACTGCATCGATAAGCTCCCCGAAAAGTGCATTTGAGAAAAAAAAAAAAAAAAAACAATTCTGATGATATATACGTACATACGTAGAGAGATAAAGTTAAAGCCTGGATATAAAAGAACAATAACAATTACAAAAAAAAAAGAAAAGAATTTAGTTAAAATTTGTAGAAACCACGAGGAGTAGAAATTTAGGAATACCTTTATGTAAACTACTGGATATCAAGGAAAAAATCAATTGAAAATTTCGTCAAAAAAATAATTACTAAGTGCAAAAAAAAAAAAAAAAAAAATAAATGTACTGAATATAGACTACAGGCGGTATCGAAATTCATACAAAACAAAAAAAAAAAAAACATTTTTATTATAATTTAAAGTAGTTCCCTTCTGTGGCTTTGCATATGTATCATCATAATCGACCTTAGTGCATTGAAAATTTACACAAAAATTACAATTTAGCTTATAAATTCACCGTAGTGCAAAAGTCACGCGGCCACCCACGTATTGAGAACATACTTTAAGCCGGTAGCTTAAATCCAATCGAAAAACACAAAAGCAAGAAAAAAGAATTTAAACTAAAACAATTAAAACAACAAAAAAAAAAACAAAGAAAAACTGCACGCATAAGTTTTCTTCAAGTCTACATAAACAGGTTAACTCTCCACTGCAACAACCACAAGAAAGGCCTTTCAACGTGAGCTGCAAATCAGTGGGTAAGTCATTATATACACTTTGCTATCAACTTTTCTTTGTTTTATTTTTTGTATACCAGCTTGACATTGGAGCGGATTGAGAAAGCTTTGCTTAAGATCGTTAAGCACCCGCTCCTGTGTCACCGGCATTTTTCGGCTGGTTTTGTCTTATTTACATTTTGCACATGTTTTGATTTATCATTTGCCGCGGTCAGCTATGTACATATTTATGTACATGCATGTAAGAACGTAAATGAAATAATATAAATGCACTAAACGGACATATACATTTGCATACATATTTACATATATGGATTAACCTGCATACATGCCGGTGGAAGTTTTTTTTCCGTTGATGACTTAAGTATATAGGCATACATTTAAATTTTGATAGTACTTAACTGAATTAATTTTTCCGGGGGTTTTATAAATAACCTAATAACCAGCTTTATATTGAAATTTAAAAAATAATTTTACGAACGTGTGAAGCTTTTGGTTCAGAGCACCCATACTAACTATTTGCTAATAATAAAACCTATATTTTTCATGCACTAAAGTACTACGTAAACCATACCTACGAATAATTCCCATAACTTGAATTTTTTATTTCCATAGGACTAATTGTTTTCTTAAGCTTACTCCCTATTGTCTTAGATTAAGTTTGCATTTGTAGAAAATAAATATAATTTTGAAATAAAATACACAGAAAATAATATTCCCCTGAAATTGACTCTGGCTAACATTGGATATGGGGTTTTCAACAAATGGCAGCCAACGAAAACCATGGATGGGTGGGTAGTGAGCTAGCAGATCGACTTCATCTTTGATTTGCTACATATCCGGCAAAGTTGAGAGAGCCCACAATGAGAGTTCTGAAGAGTGTTTAATTAATTATAATACCGGTCCCTATCCGTTTTTACTATTTAATTCTTTTTGTTCACTTATTATTCTCTTTCTAACTTAAAGTTTTTTTTTGTTATAAATTCGGGACTCTATAATAAAATAGTGCCGCAGTGTAAAGAGCAAATAGGATAGCCAAGAACCTCCCCAGCCACTGAAGCTAGCCCAGATAAATGGGTCCCGATCGGCTATCCTAACAGCCCAAATTCTTGCCTTACAAGATACCACCCTGCAATGTTCAATGCGGTTACATATTTTTGGCGCCCAACGTGGGGCAACGCATGTCTGGAATGTTGCAAGTATTACACCTTTGCTAAAATTTTATCAACTCCTAATTGGAAAACAAATAGTTCCGACTTGTTTTGTCTTATTATCCGTCGAATTAAATTTCAATGCCATAGATCTGATTAAGTTCTGGTTTAGAATTCAAGCAATTAATGGAGGATTTTTCAGTACCTGGCTCAAAGTAGAGTAGCTGAACCACTTAAAAGATGTTTGGGGTTTCCGACCAGAGTTTGAAGTTCAAATTATAGCAAGATGCATACAAAACAAATCCCTTTAGATTCAAAGTTTTTGTGTTAGTTTTATTTTTGTGATCAATCTAGCTGGATTTTTTAACATTATTGGATCTAATTCCAAAGATGTTTGCCGCTAGAAAACGGATTACACGCCTTTGTCTTTTTGGTTAATTTTTGCTGGAAATTTTGCTGTCTGGTAAATCCTCGGACAACAAACCGCTATTAAAGGAACCATGTTTGGTTTTTCCTTTTAGTTATGTTCTGGTTAAGTAAGATTCAGGAAGACAGATTAATTTAAATCTAACAGCAGTTCAAAGACTGCTTGCCGAATTATAATGCTAATTGTCAACCGTTTGTTGCATCTGTGCTAAAATAAATCCATAACCTAAATTTTTTTCCACTCTCTCAACTCAGCCGTTAAAATACGTTACCGAACATTAGTTACCTGAAAACCACAAGTGAGGAACCGAAACATTAGCACAAAAAAAAAAAAAAAAAAATAAAATACAATTTTTTTGTAACTGCTTTTATTTAAAGTAACTTATTTGTTTAATAATTTTTTTTTTACTCTTAAAAAAAAATAAAAAATGCCGATTACCCGAAGTGCAGAAAACATTCCAGCCCTGTCTGCAGTGGCTAAAGAGTCATGTGACTGTGCCATTTGTCAAGAAACAATGACTGAAATGCAAGACTGTGTAATTACTTTGTGCAACCACGTATATCACCGGGAATGTATAGGAACTTGGCTTGAAAAGCAACACGAATGTCCTTGTTGCAAAAGATTATGTCATGTTAAAGACTGCATACCAATTACCCTCAAGCCGGCTGAGCAAAGCTTTCAAAGTAGACAAGGTACCAATCTTCGAGGGCGCGGGCATAGACAATTAACTCGCAATAGGCGTCGTAATAACCCTCCCAGCTCCCAGTCGTTAATAGAAGGTGATAACAATCAGCAAGTTGCGCAAAGCCCTCGTTCCCTAAACCTGTCCATGCCAGTAGGTGATTCAGTCGATAGGGATGTAACTAACGTCTCCAATACGCAACGTAACCTAAATAATCAAGTTCGCGACTCTGGTGCCGTAGTGGATTCCGATCGAATATCACAAATGGTAGAAGAAAACGTTAGGAGAATTTTAGCTGGGTTAAATCTCGACCAAGATAGGTTACAAACCCAGGCTTACATACGCCAATCTAACGACCCTCGTTACCTTGCTAATAGTAATAATATTACTAACCCGAATTGTTCGAACCTTCGTACGGATAAAGTGATAAATATAATACAGCATTGGAATATAAAATATAATGGATCCTCCAAGGAATTAACTGTAGAAGAATTTCTCTATCGTGTTAGAGCTCACACAGAGATTCACTTGAACGGAGACTTCAATTTACTATGTAAACATATACCTTTGCTTCTAACCGGAAAGGCCCGCTTTCATAAGCAAAATGAAATTATCGAGTGGCAAGATTTTTGTGCTGCCATACGGTACCAATATAGAGATTATAGGTCCAATTTTGATATCAGGGAACAAATTAGAAGTCGAAAACAAAAGCCCGGTGAGACATTTGAGGCCTTTTATGATGATATTTCTTTGATGTGTGACAGGCTATCTTGCCCCCTAGAGGAAGAGGAGTTAATAGAAATATTAACCCGAAATTTAAAACCTCAAATTCGCCACGAACTGTTATATGTCAACGTTCGCTCTATTGCACAGTTGAGAAAACTTTGTCAAATGAGAGAAAATCTTTTAGCCGACGAGAATTTTCGACGGACTCCGATTTCCAGGCAGTTAGCAGAGACCAATTTCAGACGAAATATTTCAAGTATCGAGGAAGATGAGCTTCCGGAAGGGGATGGGCACATAGAGTCCGCATTGGAAGTCGCTGCATTACAGCAAGCGAATATTACTAAATGCTGGAACTGCATATTTTGTTATGGCTGTGGTGAGCCAGGAATGTACAAACCTCAATGCCAAACTTGTGCCGCTCGTCGTTTGGAAAACTTGAAGAGGGGTGCGGTTCGACCACCTCGTACGCACCCAAACTGAACACGGATTAACAATTCCGAATCGAAAGTAATTGCCCCTTTCACGAGTCACAACGCTACGAGTAACGATAATACTTTACCAAGCCACATGTTGCCCTATCATGAAAGACTAAAAAATTATTTAGAAGCTAAGAATAGGATATTTAGTCAGCCACCTACGTTGAAATCCAAAAGAAATACCGCAAGAATACGTAATTATTATAAGAATGTCAAACCGACACGAAAGCTTTTCCTTTCAGCCGTGTTCGAAAATAGGATCGATAATAGATTGTATGCCAAAGTTAAGTTCTTAGACTTTGAGGAGTTAGGCCTACTGGACACCGGTGCCAATGTTTCCTGTGTGGGAACAGATTTGGCGAAAACAGATTTTTCTAAATATTCGCAGTTTCATCCCTTAAATACCACGGTAAAAACCGCTGACGGTAAACCACATTCAGTCAGTGGTTATCTAAGCGCGATTGTCGAATACCAAGCCGTAAAAAAAGCTTTGAAAATTTTTGTTATCCCCACTATTACGAATCGGCTAATTTTAGGAATAGACTTTTGGAAAGAATTCGACTTGGCCCCAGGTTTGATTTCTTGCATATCGGCTGGTCAATTCTCT